CTCAAAATTCTATTAATGTCACATAAATTAGGATAGAAGAAATAACATATATATTTTAAGTTTATATAGAAAGTACTATAAATTATTGTAATTATTGAATTCAAATATTGAAAAATCATATAAAAAAATGATTAACTCTCTAAAATTCTATTGTGCCACATAAATTAAGATAAAAGAAGAAACATATGTTATTTATAAAAATGATGTTAAAAGCACAATAGTACTATAAGTCACAATAATTAACAACTTAATTTAAAAATAATAATATATACAACACTTAGCTGCCTCTTCAAATTTCATTTGCATCACATTAATTGACCATTAATTCTGCACTTTTTTCCTTTTAATTTTGTCTTACATTTCTTTTTTAGCCTGTTATAAATTTGAAAATTACAATAATAATACTTTAAATCACAATAATTAATAAGTTAAGATATTTAAAAATATAAAAAAATCATTTGACTTTCAAAATTCTATGTGTGACACATAAAATGGGTTAGAGAAAATGACATATATTATTTGACAATGACGTAAAAAGTATATAAATCACAATAATTAACAACTTCGAAATTTAAAAGATATAAACAAAATTGGCTAACTCTCAAAATTATATCAATACCACATAAATTGGGACATGAGAAGTAAACAAAAATTATTTAAAAATTACGTAAAAAGTACTATAAATTACAATAATTAACAATTTAAAATATTTAAAAGACATAAAAATGATTAATTTTTGAAATTATATCTATGCCGCATAAATTGGGAGAACGAAATAATATATATTACTTCAAAATCGCTTAAAACATTATAAATCACAGTAATTAATAACTTAAAATATTTTTAAAAATCATATAAAATTTTGAGTAACTTTTCAAGTTTCAACATGCCTGCTTGTAGCCAGGGGTAGTTTGACAATTTAAAGTTTTCTTTTTTTTAAATTTGTATTTTATCACTTTATATATATTATAAAATTATATAAAAAATATTATAAATCATAATAATTAATAGCTTCAAAATATTTGAAAATATATAAAAAGATTTTGTTAACTCTCAAAATTTCATCTATACCACAGAAATTGGGATAAAGACAGATATTATATAAAATACATAAAATATATTGTTAAATCACAATAATTAATAACTTAAATATAAAAAAGAATTTATAAAAAAATGATTAACTTTTGAAACTTCATTTGTATCACATGATCAACACAAAAAGAGTAATATATATTATATGAAAATTACTTAAAAAATATTATAAATTACAATAATTAGCAACTTAAAAAATCTGTCTCTCTCTGTCTATATATATATATAAAATAAAATTGGTTGACTCTAATATATAAAAACATGTTAAGAAATTGATTAACTTCAAATTTCAGATATATCACATAAATAAATTAAAACACAAAGAGTAATATATATTGGGCCCCGTGCTGACACGGGGTATGTATCTAGTATATTAATAACAACTCAAGAAAATAATTTTTTTTTTTTTAAAAAAAAATAGCCCGCAAAGCACAGTCAGCCTTGCGTCTTGTAAGGCTCAAGGCGACTGAGCCTTACAAGGCTTAAAGCTGCTATGCGTTGTAAGGCTCATGGGTTTCTGCGGCTTACGACAAAAACCCTAATTTAAACGCTGTTAAAATTTATTACCCTTTTAATTTGAAAAATAATTTAATTGCCCTTTTGGAATTTTTGAAAATTTTTGTTACCCTTTTGATTCCAACTCCGATTAAAACCTTATTGCATTGACTGACTGAGAGTATAGCGCAAATTAGTCGGGGCATTTTAAATCTCCATTGCCTTTTGTTTTTTTTTTAAGCCTCCATTGTTAGCTACCAAAAAACTTACTCCTACCCTAGAAGAAGACCCCAAATCTTGACGGCAAAAGGATATTCTCCAAGTTATATAGAGTTGCAGGTTTTGGAATGGAGGAAAATAAGCAGCCAGCATCACAAAAGATACAGATATACCCCACCTCCACTGGTGAAATATCTCCTTTCTGGAGAGACAAGTACGAAAAAGATGCAAAGAAGTACTGGGATATCTTTTACAAGCGCCATCAAGATAGAGTAAGTTTCTTATACTCTCTAATAAACCTTTTGATCTGTATTTGCTCAGTGTCTGAATTTTGCAACTTCTTACTGATGTTTTGCTGTTTTCTTTCTTTTTCTGCTGTGTTTTTCCTTCTCGATTTGAAAAAAAAAAACAGTTCTTTAAAGACAGGCATTATCTGGACAAGGAATGGGGTCAATACTTCTCTGTGAGTGAATAAGACAATGAATATTATGAGTTTTGTTCTAAAAAAATGTGTTAAGTTAAGGAGGATGGTACATTAAATAATGATATGTTCCTATTCTTACTCTTTGCAGGGGACTGACGAGAAAGTCATTCTTGAGGTAATTCAAGTTTATCACGCATTTGTTCTTTTTATCCGTCGAATATTCTGAGCCCATCTTTTTGAGGTATAACTAATGATTATCTCAGTATTTCGTTCAGCACAATTTTATGACAGTATGTTTTTCTTATTAATATTTTCTACATCTAAGTACTTGCATGTCTATTTTCAGCATATGGTGATTATGTCCTGTAGTTTCTTAAGAGCTCTATTAGCTACTATCATTTAACTTTTGGTGTTCGTCAAGAGAATTATAGTTTTCATATTGCCTTCTTCAAGCAATCAAATGGGTGCTGTTGAAAGTGCTCATAACTTTTTCAAGTTGTAGTTAACTTTCTTGTTATGTGGATCACAATCTAACACATGTTTATGTAATATTATTTGTTGAAGGAATTGGTTCAATTGTTCTCTTGTTACACTTGCACTGATGGAATACTGCTGATTACAGGTCGGGTGCGGGGCTGGAAATACCATCTTTCCTTTGCTTGCTACAATACCAAACATATTCGTCCATGCCTGTGATTTTTCACCTCGAGCTGTGAACTTAGTTAAGGTACATATTTAGTTCGTGTCAGTGGCCTCTCAAAGTAACAATTGAAGAAAGTATTTTCCCTTTAGTTGTTTAATTGTGATCTGGAATGAGTGGGAGGTTGAGAATATTTCAGCTTGCTGGCGTGCCTATTTCACAAAAATTGTAGCAAAGATATTTCTAAGGAGTCATTGACGATATTTAGTTCATCTTGTTGCTTGTGTTGGATAAGCGTTCTTTTTTGTTTTGGATATATTTACTTGAGTAATACTTATCATATGAGATTTTTTATATTTGGTTCTTTTCAGAAAATTATTCACATTGGCATGCTTTATTGTTTGTACAACCAAGGCTCATTAGGATGCTAAGAGTCCATTATATGTGGGTCTTATTAGCTTACGTTGTAGATACATCAATTTTGAAATGTCTAGAGAGAGAGGCACCTACTTCCCTCTAGAATCAAGGAAGCTGGAACAAAGGTCTTTCAAGGAGCCAGTATTAGAACTAGGGGGAAGATGCTGCAAGGTGGAATCAGATAGGGAACCTCATTTTTCGCCGTCCAGTAAATATGTCTAAAGAAAAAACTTCTTGAATTGCTCGGGACTTCCCCAAAATGGGTGGGCTCACCGGATGCTGTTGGAAACTGGGCGGCGGCTGTTTGGGTGTAGCTAATGGGCTGAAGGTTAATCATTCTCGGTTTCTTTTTCATTTTGCAGATGAGTTTCAAGCTTCTGAAGTTCTTCAAAGGGGGAGAAGGTGGATGGGTGACACCTTCTTGAAGTTGGAAGGATGGGAGGAACTTTCTGGGTGTGACGATCCACATTTTACCAGAGATATTGTGGTGGTGAATTTGGTGGGTCTCTCTGTCCATCTTTGGTGTTTTGACCTTGTTAGAATAGAAATAAGTATTTCCTACTTAGAATAGAAATAGGAATAGGAATAAGAATAGGAATCCTAGTTGGAAAAGGATTCCAATGTAGTGTCTATAAATAGGGTCTCAATGTAACTATTTAGATACACAATTCAATAATATTTTTCTTATATATTTCTCACATGGTATCAGAGGATTGGTGAGAACAAACAAGTCACCGTATGTCTATGTCAATTTCCGGTGACTGTTGGGTTTGATTTTGTTATTCTTTTTTCTTTCTGTGGGTGTTGTGCGAAAACCAACACCACCACGAGGCTCGGAAATCCCCCGCGACCAAACCCCAGCCAAAACCACCGGAAAACATCACCCCACGCGCTCTCACGCGCCGATCGGAGGTGGTAGTTTCCGGCGAGATCTGGCTCACGCGCCGGCGCGTGAGGGATTTTCTGATCATATTTTTTGAGAATTTTTTTGACAGTTGGGGTCGTCCAGCCATTCCGACCAGGCCCATATTGTTTTTGACCAGATCCGATCGCCGGAATTAGGGTTCCGGCTATTTCCAGGCTGTTTTCGGTGACTTTTTTCTTCGAGATTTGAATTTTCCGACAATCAAATCTCAATAATCAAGTTTCTTTTTGTTGTTTCCAAGACAAATTTAGCATAATGTCTTTTGGGTGTGATGTTTTTGGTTCTAAAAATATGGGGATTGGAAGTTCTAGCCCTATAATCACTTCAGAACTTTTATTGGGAAGTTCAAACTATTTATCTTGGGCTTCCTCGGTTGAGCTGTGGTGCAAGGGTCAAGGTGTCCAAGATCACTTAAC